GCAGCTCATTAATGCTGCTAGAAACTTGGTCTACAGTATAGTCATGATTTAACTCACCTCCGTTCGCATTTTCAATTTTGCTGGTTGGAGAAAACTCCCTGGTGTCAGAATCACTGACACGACAGAATCTCTGGCTAGTCTGTTTTATAACATGTAACGCTTGATTTTTTTTTTTTTACCAACCATCAAATGGAAATCAATGCTTTGGGGTCGATAAAAGTGTTCTAATAAATATGTACATGATTGAGTTTGACAAAAAGGAGAATGCAGTTCTAACGCAGACTGAATTGAAATTTTATGGGATAACCAGTCTTGGATGTAAAATTGGCCTCCTGCCAGCAGGGGCAAACACAGATGACATCATCACAAAGCATGTGCATAAAAGTCTTTTTTGGTTTTTCAATCGTTTATGATTCTGAGCCATGCAAATCAACACAAACATGGCCTGTTTCGTCGTTTATGTGGCTTTGGGATGTCAACTGTGGAAACGTCTATACTTCATTCGTTGTAGTTTGATTACATTTGTTAGTTAGTTCCATTGTGGCGACAAATAATTTAGTCTGCATCTGGCTGAATACTGTTTGGAATTGTTGGAAAAGTACTCTGAAGCCAAGATCTATAAAAGAAATCCTGAACCAAGGAACAGCAATGTATTTTAATGCTGTCTATACTTTAATTCATCACTTGAAATATTCAAAACAGTCGCACAGAGTTTGTTTACAATAACCAAGCACACGATTAGAAATCGGTTCTCTAATATTCGTGCTTCCAGCAGTTTTGAATATAAATGCATATATAAAAATATATACTTTCACAAATTAGCTTATTAGGCTTAAATGTTACCACGAAATGTGAAAATATCTAGCATGACATTTGAAGGCAAATGTAAATATTATTTTTAGTTCTATTAAACTTGTGAGCTCGGTATGGAAACTGGCATTGTCACGCAAGGTATCAGCAAATCATAGTTTCAAAAGAGGGAACCTCTACTTGTTAACCAGAAAACCACAGGAAAATACTGGCAAGGATTTTGTCATTATGTTATATCTCAGAATCTGTCAGTAAAAACCCAGAGGTTGAAAAAAAATAATGTTGATTTTAGCATGAGAAGTTGAATTAGTCAGCTAATAAAATCGTTCAAGTTATTAAAGTGAATGTAATATATTCGTAACCGGAAGTTGTGTTAAGCTGTTGCATTACCCAAGATGCTTAGAGAATAAAGTTGTTGTGTTGAGCAAGCCTCGTGAACTTGTGTTGTTATGTCACCAAGCCATACTTTTGTTAGTATGTTTCATTTTGGCGACGAGGATGGGATACTCTACATGCACGAAGACGCATGAGAAATCCAGTGA